ATTAAGAAATGAAAAAAACAGTTGAGGCTTTATCAGATGACAGCCCCTCAGATGGTCCAGCACCAACTACGTTCATTGTTCCCTCAACTGTGAGCATCCATTACTCTCCATTGCAGGGCTCTGCCTTTTCGGTGAGACGGTTTCATTCTCACCATTTCCATTGCTCTGGGCTCTCCAGAATAACCAGCTTTCTGAGTGTCCTGAGATCAGACTCCTCCAAAAAGCATTTGAGTGGTTTACCTAATCACTGTCCACTGTAGGAGACTTCTTTGGGGGCAAAATTGCCCTTGAAACCAGCATATGGGGTTCTCCAAGATGGGATCGCATTAGAAATATCTGAGCAGCTTTTCCAAAATGCACTTCCTGGGGACTCATTGATAGGTAATAAGTTAGGCTCTCCATCTGGTGTTGGATTAGACATCTGCTATTTTGAAAAGTCTCCCCAGGTGATTGTGTTGTGCACTTCTGGACCATAGCCACTGTCGTCGATGGCTGTCTTTGGAACAGGTGCTCATCCTTGGCCCAGTCGTCTGTGACCAGAGAGGTGGAGTCACAGGGACAAAGCACAGGAAGGGAGTGTGGCACACACTCAGAACTCCATACAGCCTTTCAAATCCCCGCCCCTCTTTCTCTCTGTCCATCCTTCCTTCCCACATCACTTACGTATTTCTCTTCCAGGTCAGGATGTATAGATGTTGGAGCAGACTCTAATAGTTCTCTCTTTCCCCTTTAGAAACACTTACAAGGATTAAAACAAGTTGGCATGTGAGAGCTCAAATGCTCTAAAAGCTGGGAGGGAGCAAACGTGTGTACATTCCAGCTGGGGTTAGGGAAACAGAGCACATAAACAGGGCACATAAACCTGGATTCCATTTCAAGATTAGAACCAGCTTCTTAAAATAATAATCCTTTATTCTGTCATCCTTCTCATTCACAGTACCACCAAAGTAGCAGTATCTAGAAAGGAATTTGGTCTTTCCTGGGCCACATAAGGGGCAGTTCACTGAACTACTTATAAAATGTAACAGCTGTTCATTCCCTTTATTATAGAAAAAAGAAAGAGCAGGAGGAAGAGGAGGAGGAGGAGGAGGAGGAATACAACACTAAATAGAGACCAATTCCCATGGCTGACAGAAGATCCTTGGGAGAGGATGGGTTAGCAGGAGTGAGGAAAGCCAGGTAGTAATGGGTGGTACTTTATCCACCATAATGTTTACTGAGCTCCAATTTGTTTAGTGTATAGTAGAAATAGAAGATGAAGCCCTTGGCTTCCCTGAGCTGACAATCCAATAGGGGAGACCCATGAAAGGGTCTATAATATTAAGTAACATGGTATATATAAGGAGCTCAGTAAGTCTCGAATCTACTGTATAATCTCAACAGATGCTAAATTAAACAATAGCTGAATGTGTTTGCTTGCTTGCATTCCAACTTCCTTCTCCCTTACCTACCTCCACTTGATTTCCCAGGCTCCTTTGTAGCAGGGGTGGCCACATGACACAGGAGAAGTCTACTGAAATTGTTTCTACCTCTTTGTACCTGGTTGAATAGTGTCCCCAAACAATTCATGTACACCCATAAATGTGGCATTATTTGAAAATAGAGTCTTTGCATATATAATAAAGATGAAGTTCTATGGGAGGAAGATAGACCCTTGACCTGATATGACTGGTGTTCTTGAAAGAAAAAGATGACGCATCTATAAGCCAAGGAATGCCAAGGGTTGCTGGCAGCCACTGGAAACTAGAAGGAGCAAAGAAGGATTCTCTTCCAGAGCACTCAGAGGGAGCATGGTCCTATCCACACCTTGAGTTAAACCTCTGGCCTCTAGAATTATGAAAGAATAGATCTCTAGTGTTTAAAGCAACCTAGTTTGTGGTATTTTTGTCATGGCAGCCCTAGGAAACTAAACTCTTTCTTCTGCTCTTCTTCTTAGAGTGAAGAGAGGATGCCTTGAGGGACATCACACATCTTAGGAATATGAGAACAGAAGCTGTATAAGTAAATATGGTAGACCAGAAAGACAATAGGAGACTGTTTCATTGTGACAATTTCCCAGATAAATAAATTTCCCATTCATTTATCTCAATAAATAAATCCCTAAGTGTTTCAGTCATTTCACTTAGGTTTTCTGGTACAGATGACACACCCCTAACTAATGCTCTATAGCCAAATAGAATGATGCAGGAGTTAACGGAGTTCATGTCCCAGCCATGTGGACATGTAGATGTGTGGCCCCTAGGAAGTCATGAAAGCATCTTTGATGCCATTTAGTTCCTCTTTAAAATAGAAATAGTACTGTCAAGCTGAGTTTTAAATGAGATATTTTATGAGAAAGCCGGGGGTTGTCAATCAGGCAGGGAGAACCCATACAAATTACCAGGGCTGCCATCTCAGGGGGCCTAGATCCTGTCTGGGTTGCGTAGTAATACAAATGCTGAATGGAGACCATTTCCCCACCACTGTCCTTATTGGGAAAGCCCCTAATAAATTTTTTAAACAGGAAGCAGCTATCAGAAGCCTTGGTAAAAATATTTTATAAAGGACCATACTAATATTGGGGAATATTAAAGTACCAGTTAAATAACTCCATTGTACAACTTACAAAAGCAGTCACTGGGATGAAGGGCTCTCAATGTTCTCATTAAATGGAAGGGAGAAGGGAGGATTTTCTCAGTTCCTTCTGAAACAGTTCTATCCCACAAACTTCCCAAGCCATCCCTTTCTGTCTTGCCTATCCCTGGACCCTTCCTTTGTCTCTGAGCAAATGCAAGACAAAAGTAGTCAGGAGGCTGCAGAAAGAGAACACTGTAAGCCCTTCCTAGAGTGAAGCAGGCCTTGATGCAGTGAAGGGATAAACCTCAGGGTAGACCCCAGAAGAATGCCACTGACGCCCTGGAAGTCCGAGGTGCCACATGGATACATCTTTCACCCACTCCCCACTTGGCAGGGGGCCTCTCCTTGTGCAAGCCAAGTTTTCCAAAGGCTGGAGGGTGCTTCCCAAAGTCTAGTGCCTCAAGATACAGGTCTTAGCCAGATTCAGGGGTGCACATTTGTAATCCCAGCTACTCAGGAGGCTGAGGCAGGAGGATTGCAAGTTCAAGACCAACCTGAGCAACTTAGCAAGACCTCATCTCAAAATAAAAGTAAAAGGACTAGCTAGCATGCACCATGTCCTGAGTTCAATTCCCAGCATCTCCTCCAAAAAGATACAGGCCTCAGCTTGGCTGGGTGTCTCAGTTCCAGAAATTTTCAGTTTCTCTCAGAATTCAACTCAAATCACCTGCTTGTAGATTTGAGCTAACATAGGCAGCCCCTAGTCCCTCTTTCCTGTACCTTCCACCCATTCTCACCCTCTCACCACGTTAGAGCTAAGTGAATATGGTTTTCCAAATATAGTTTTGCTGCCAGTGTGTTAGGCCTTCTAATGAGCCACAGTAATTGCTTCTCTATTTTCCAAAATGAAAATGAACCTCCGAAGAGCAGCTGGTTCACTGTAATGTTCTCTTCCCTCCAATTACATACTGCATTCCTCCAAGTCAGTCAAACGCCGGCCTTGACTGCTTCATCTGTGAGCAGGGCCCGTGGGAGAGGCTGGAGGAATGTGCTGATGTCAAGGAAACAGGCCTGGAGCCTTGAATACTTGGGTATATTTAAGGGAACAGGGAAGAAAGAGAAGTAGGAGGAGGAAGATGGGAAAGATCTGGTTTTACTTTTGAATTCTAAGATGTCCTAGCTTGGGTTGTGCTTTTCAGTGTATCTGAAAGGATAACTGAAACTTTAGACAACAGAGCAAAAATGTCTCTGTCTTCCTCTCTTTTTCAAGAATCATGACAAAGCAATAAAGAAAAGAATCAATAACATAAACCCCATAGTCTACAGGGGCAGGACACATCTGTAATCTGGAGCCCCCAGTGTATGAAGATGAGAAAAATTGATGAGCCACTTCATAGATCTACGAAAAGTCCAGCCCAAGAGGCAGAGGGTAGAATCAAGTGAATCAAGCCATTCTCCCTGGAGAATATAGAGGAGTCTAGGGAGTTGGGAAACCAACATTCTGCATTAGTCAGAAATCAGCACAGCACGGAAAATAACTTCTGTGGTATTAAGATAACAATACCAGGTACCACTTCTGGAGCACCTCATGGTGCCTGGTCCTCTACAAACATTCTCTCATGCAATGCTCCTAAGAGCAAAACACATTATTTTCCAATTTTATAGATGCAAAAACCGAGGCTTAGAGGAACAGTCATTTGTCCCAGATGTCAGAGAGTAAGACACTGAACCACACATTCTTTTTTTTTTCTTCTTAATAGTACTAGGGATTGAACTCAGAGACCTCACATTGAGCTATACTCCTAGTTCTTTTTATTTTTTATGTTGAGACATGATCTTGTTAAGATGCTCACACAGAACTTAAGCTTGCGATCCTGCTTCCTCAGCCTCCCAAGTATGGAAGTACAGGTTTACACCACCACTCCCAACATACACCAAACTATTCTTAATTTCAAAGTCCTACCATGAGCCCCCACCACTTCCTCAGGTCAATTGGAGCATGTGAGTCACTTGTACCTATGTACAGGTGTGGAGCCAGGTTAACATGATTGGCATGGGTTAGTCAGGGGCACTGTTGTCTGGGCTCCTGCTTCACTGTCTGCTCAGCCATTTTCTCAAGCTGGACTGTGCTTTGGAAATGTTACAGAAACAAGCATCACCACCTCCCTCTTGTCACTTTCTGTTGGAGCCCTCCTGCTGGAATGAGGTACTCCCAAAAGTGGATCCTTTCAGCTCTGAGGTAGGTGCAGGTCTCTAGAGACTAAGATTCCAGCAAATATACTGGCCAGCATCCAAGAGGGAAGAAGGTTGAAACAGTTTGGATTTTAAATATCCTCCAAAGACTCATTCAAGTTCTGCTCACTTGTCTGTGGTGCTACTGAGAAGCAGGAAATCTTTAGGGGGTGGGGCCTCATGGGAGGAAGTTAGGTCATTGGTGTTGTGCCTTTGAATAGAATGTTGAGACTCTGGTCTCTTCCTCTCTCTCTCTCTCTGCTTACCAGCCACCATGAGATTACCAGATCTCCTCCACCACATGCTTCTGTGATGTGCTGCCCTACCACAGACCCAGAGGATCATGGACTGAAAGCTCTGAAACCATGAGTGAAAAGAAACCATTCCTCCCTTAAGTTGATTATGTCAGGTATTTTGTCAGAGCAATGAAGAGCTAATGCAGAGGATGTCAAGGAAACTGCTCCTCCCTTCCTACACTCTCCTGTTTGTTACTGCCCAGCACCTGTGCTGTAACATCCAAAGCAGGCTATAGAACCCACAACTGTCCAGATCCCCTCACTGGAGCCACAAAAGTCTGAATGAATCTGAGTCACAAAGAACCACATCCATTTGATATGCAGGTTCAGAAGTGTAAAATAAAGTGTGCAGTGTCTGTTTGCTAGCCCCTTTCTGATTTCTGACTTTTTGTTCAAAGATCAATCATAAGATCCATGAGAGTCCATGAATAAGTGGCTGGCCACTCTGTTAGGCATGTTGGAGATCAAGCGTATTGTGTCTGCCCTCAAGAATCCATAACCAGTCAGAGCACTCTGGCAACCACATCTGAAAAGAGAAGGAAAGACCCCAGGCTGTGTGCAATTAAGAGCCACTGGAAAGGTGTTCTGAGATGTACCATAGTTGTCCTCAGTGATCTCCCTAATGCTTCCACTAAGTTGTGAATTCTTTAAAGGTTTTTGTTTTTTTTATTTTTGGACTTCAGTGCATAGCAGTGAGAGGGGCATGTGCCAACTGCTCATAAGCATCTTTTGAATGAATGAATGAGTGAGGGGACAAATGAACAAGTGAAGGAATGAATATGTTCCAAGGAAGGAATACTGCAGAGAGCAGAGAGCTGGAGTGGTGAGGTAGTGCATCCAGGAGGAAACAGGACTACAGCCAAACAGGGAGTTGTCATCCAGTGACTCTGTAGACCTGAAAGAATCTTCCAAAGGTCAAGATGGTCTCTAGAAAGGGACTAACCTGGGACTGAGCATGGAAGTCAGGAAGTCGGGCTTGTGATAAACTTTGGTGAGACGGATGGAGATGAATGGATGTCATGGGAACACCCAGCTAAGCCATTCCAGGAGGTGAGTAAAAAGGCAGCTGTAAGTAGAAGAAGCACCTAAAAATAAGGTAGAAACATGTATGTTCAACTCTAGATGTTTCCACAGACTAAATTCCTATCTTGCAAAGACAAGACAACTCGTACAATGCATTTAGTTCTACCCTAGCAGGTCAGTCTAACTCTTGTTGGCCTTAATTCACACCCAAGGAAACTGCCAACAGTCTTGACCTGCAATCAAATGGTATTTAAAAATTCTTTTTTGGCACTGACCACAGATCAAAGCCATAGATTCATCTATTTGCTATTTATATTGAGATATCTAATGATCAGGGCCAATTCATCAGTCACAAAAGGAAACAACTTTGGGAAACGAAATTCTACCCAAGCTCCTGAGAGGTCCATTGAACAGATGGATTTTCCCTCATTCATTAAGTATCTGTGAGCTTTCACCATATAGATCAGCACTGTCCTTGGCAGCAGATTGAGCACTGAGACTCAATGGCCAGTAGACAGGCAACATTCATACTCCATGACTTTGGGTCCAGGGACCTACATTGGCCTTTTCGTATTTTCTTGGCTGGTGTTGCTTCTAAGCAAAGTAAAACCCACAGCTCAGATTTAGCACTTCCATTTTTGAATAACCTTTAAGCTAAAAATATTTTCCCCATTTTTAAGTACTAGCTGAAAAAGTCCAAAGAATAGTATTTTGGGACACAAGAAAATTGTATGAAATTTAAAGTTCAGTGCCTATAGTGCAATTTTACTGGAACATAGCCATATTCACCCTTTCATATCTGTCTATGGCAACCTTGATGCCACCACCATCGAGAAGTGGTGACAGACTGCGTGGGTTTGAGCTGCATTTTTGACTATTTGCTTTTCCACAAAAAAGTTTGTGAATGTCCATTCTGATCTAACTTTTCTCAAATTCACTCCATGAGACTACTTCTAGCTAGGTGTGATGCCATGTGCCTGTCATCCCAGCACTCTGGGAAACTGAGGCAGGAGGATGGCAAGTTTGAGCCCAGCCTGAGCAACTTGGCAAAAAAGCCTGTCTCAAAAATAACTAACTAAATAAATAAAAAGTGGCTAGGGATGAAGCTCAGAGCAATAGCCCTGAGTTCAATCCCCAGTACCACAAATAAATGCACATATATTTTTTAAAAATTTAAAAAGACACACAAGTGCAAGGACCCGAGTTTGATCCCCGGTACCAAAAAAAAAAAAAAATTTAAAAAGAAATGGTGATGTAGCTCATTGCAAAGGCCTTGAGTTCTATCCCTAGAACCCCAAACAAAACAAAACAAAAAATCAAAAGGAAAACAAAAAGCAAAATATTATTGCAGAGGAATCTTGACAAATGTTAGATTTTTTTACAAAAAGATTTCCATAGTCAATGTGTTTAAATCAATTGGCTATAAGAAATGAAAGGTTTCTTTCTTTGATATTTAATCTTGAGTATGCCAAAGCACACAGTGCCCTCTTTGATAGCAACATATGATGTAGAGTTTTCTAAAACTGTGTATTTAGTAGTCCCACTTTTTCTGTGGTTTTATTTTATGTAGTCTCTGTTACCTGTGGTCAACAACAGTCAAAAAATATTAAATGGAAAATTCAAAAAATAAATAATTCATAAGTTCTGAAGTGCACACTGTTCTCCATGCTGTAACAAAATCGCATACCAGCCCATTCCATTCCACCTGGAATTTGAACCATCCCTTTGTCCTGTGTATCCATGCTATATATGGAACCTGGCAGTCAGGTATTTAATTGAGCCTTGGTCATCAAATTCACTGTTGCCATATCTTAGTGCTGGTGTTCAAGTTTTAGTTAATGGTCCTTAAGCAGTGATGGTGAACCTCTCAGGTACAAGTGCCCAAACTGCAGCCCCAAAGCCACTTATTTATCACAAAGTGCAAACACTGCAATTAAACTTAAATACTGAGGTTTTAGTTTAGAAAGAAAAATAACACATGTGTCATAGGTTCGCCACCACTGTTCTAAAGTATAAGAGTAGTAATACTGACAATTTGCCTATACCAAAGAGAAGCTGTAAAGTGCTTCCTTTATGTGAAAAGGTGAATGTTCTTAGTTTAATAAATAAAGAAAAAATAATCACAGGCTGATGCTGTGAAGATCGATGGAAAGAACAAATGTTTTATGCATCACATCATGAATAAAAAAGAAATCCATCTCTCAAACTGCTAACGTTATAACCATAATATGTGATGATTGCTTAGTTAAAATGGAAAACAGATTGTGTGGCTCTGTGGTGCAGTGTTTGCCTGGTATGCACTAGGCCCTGGGTTTCATTCCCAGAAACACACATGTACACAAACACACACACACACACACACACACAGCACACACATTACTGGAAATGGGAGCACATTAACTTGCAGGCTTCGGCACTGGCCATGGTTTGCGGTACCCACTGAGGTCTGGAAGATGTCCCCATGGATAAGTGGAGGTTGCTGTACCTTTGCTGACTTGCACAGACTCTCTCAGCACACGAGGAAGGCAACGCTGATCTAAGTAGATTTCTTAGTCACTGGCTTTGCTGTGTGATTTCTGAACTCACCTGCCAAAGCTAAAGCAATATCATCAAATCGTAGGGATATTTTTCCATCCAGATCCGAAGCCCCTTGCTGTCCAGCATAGGGCACAGAATTAAGTATCTAGTATTTCCCTATCACACTTGAAGAGTTTCCCCATGCTTCCTAAAGTAAAAACTTGTGGGAGACAATCCCAGTCCTCCACATGCAGGCTCCACATGTATACTGTAACCTTGCATTGTTCCAGGGACAGTGTGGCTAGAGGGTCACAGGAGGAGCCCAGGCTGGGTCAGCAAGGACAAGGGTACACTGGGATGCATCTAGAGAACAGAAGTTCATTTGTATCAGGGCTGAAAGCCTCCTGGGAGAACATTGAGGTTGAAACAAGCCAGATGCAATGAATTTGACTCCAGAGAAAAGTCTTAATTATTCTAAGGAAGGAGCAGGTCGGACGCCATTTGGATGTATCTACTGGTGCCGTCCTCACTGGCCACCTGCTCAAATCTTCTAAAGTGGTAACAATGAGGAAGGAGGTTGTAAATAAAGAACAGACTATTTTTTTAAACTTTTTAAATCTTTGGCTTGGGTGCCTTGTTTTCTAAGCCAAAGTGTGCATTCTTTTGGCCATGTTACAAGACATAGGTCAAGCGATTGCTCATAGCACTAAGGATGCCTCTGCCCAGGGGTGCTCATATATAAAGTCATAAAATGTTGAAACACAGACAGAGGTTAAATAATTTGCCTGAGTTCATGAAGCCAAAAGTAATAATAAGTTAAAGGCTTAAATTCAATGTTTTGTTTTTCTTTGTTTTATAATCCTATTACACCATGCAGAGAAAAAAAGAATATATACTCAAATAATGAAGTCTGAATATTTTACAAAACTCTGGTTCATGATTTTAATGGTTGGAGGTTTGAGAATTGGTTTATTAGATCTTTTAATTTTTCTAGCTATGATTTTATAGCAAGGGAAATATTACTTATGGGGGCAGTAATGTGGATTAAATTAATACAGTTTCGTATCAAATGACCACAGTTAATACAATTTTAAATTCAACTTTAAAGTTGAATTTAGAGTCTATGAGACACATTGTACTAATCAGAAATATATAACAAAATGAGATCATCGTGTTTTAGAAAGGGACTTGAAAAACATTGACCCAATTTTCTGAGCACAGAAGTAAACAAAAATGAAGTTCAAGAAGTTCATGTATAAATGTCAGGAGAGTAGGCTTATTCAGCCTGGAAAAAAGACAGCAAAAGATAGGAACTATTTCTGGGGTCCTAAGTGCCTGTTGACTGAGATGAACTACTTTCTTCATCCACAAGTCCTTAAGGAGGACAGGGCAGGATGGACCTTTACGAAGCAGTGCAGGAGGTTCAAAGTGGGAGAGACTGTAGAATCAAGAGGATGATACATACCTCAGAGGTACTCTATGCCTTGTAGGATTAACAATAGAGCACATCAAGTTCCCAGTCCAGGGAGGAAATGGAAGCTGTCATTATGGACTCAGGGACTCACTGAGTGTCACTATTTCAGAAAAATATCAGCATCAACCTGTGGTAGAAGGGGAAGACAATTCTCCAAATAATCATAGCAGGTAGGGAGGAGGAGGCTGGGGCATCACTTTCCATGTGAATACTAAGATGGTCACTTAGAATGTCCACCCATGCTGCAGGGCTGTTGCCCAGGGCTGGGCTAGAGGCCTTTCTGTACCATTCTCCTGTGCCTTCTGCAGCCAATGGGTACCATGGTGGAATCCATGGATGGCTGGTGGCAACAAGGCAGAACATGAAAAAAAAGTTTCAGGTGTATCTAATGTTATCATTTCTTAATATGTTCCAATGAACATCTGAAACCTAAATTCTGGACACAAATGATTATCACAAATCTAACCTGCCTGTCTTTTGGGGTCAAGTGCAATAATGGTTTGTCAGATCTATGTTTCACATTATAGATCCAGGTACTCGACATTTACAGTTTAAAAGAGAGATCTAGAAGGATAGTGGTTGTTCACTTCTGTTTTAACAGGCCCAGAAGTATCAAAATCCTATAGAATAAAAGTGTTTGGGGGGGGATTGGCAAGAGATTTTCACTCAATTGTCTTCAAGACATGACATCATCAGAAAGCAGAATCCAAGGTGTCAGAAGGGCGTATTTGCAAATTCTTAATAACAAAATCAAGTGGCCAAGCTAACTCAGCATCAAACTCCAACTTACTAGCTTGTAGGTTGCCCCAAGAGTCTTGGGTGACTATATCATATGTCACAATCACATTTAGAAAAAGCAAAGTGAGTAACAGAGATCATCTCCTGGATCAGACCCTAACCAATTCTCTCACTCTGCCTCTTTCTTGGTCCATGCAGAGGCATTAACTGGGACCTCAGCTGTGGGATGGGAGCCTCTTGCAGGTTCCAAAGGTTTAGCAGGGAGTGGTATCGATCATTTGAAATGTGTGGTAGTGACTCAGATCTCCCTAGACCTACTGTTTAATTTGTAGCCAAGCCCCTTGACTATGGCCCTGGTCCCACATACCCTGTCCAGGCTTCTGAATCTCCCCTGAGACTTTGAGGGAGAGCTACATCCGATTTTCACACCTATAAAATTCTGTGGCAGCCAGGACATAGCCGTGCTGGCCCCTCTGAGTGGCAGTTGTTGAATCACTTTGCTTTGAGTGATTTTCTGTCACAAGTCCACTGCCAAAAGCAGCCAGGCCTAAAATAACTCGCTGGGAAAACAACTTCTACCAGTTTTCTTGGGGAAGTCATCAAAAAGCATCCATATATTATCCCTCTTTGGCTTATGCCTAGGGCTTCTGAGATGTGTGATATACTGCTAAATCGAGAGGCCTGCTTAAGCACAGCAATTTGTTGATGGATTTCTTTTAAATTGAAATTTCAGAGACTAAGCAGAGCAGTGATGACCGTGATTGTTAATGTGAAACAGAAAACAGGAGAAAAAACAAGACTCTATGTTAAAGATGGAGCGGGAATCATGGCTTCTGACTAAAGGAGAACAACAAGTAGGATGACAACGGCAACAACAACAACAACACAAGATTTAAGTGAGCTATCAAAGTAAGGAAGAATGATGATGACTTAAATTTACTGAAGGCTGATTATAACTTTGCCCCTTTCCCATGGGATTTTGTTCCTTGTAGGCTATAAATCGCTCCAGAACCCTTTGCTCTCACACTTCCTCAGTGACTGTCACCCACCTCTTACCGAATCTTATTTTTCTGTCCTATTACAGCCTCCTCCTCTAAAGCCTGGCTCCTGACTCAGCCCAGCCCCTCACCACTCCACTCTTTTCCCACCTCCTTCTTTCATCTTCTTCCAGTGGAAACACCGACCTCACATTTGCCTGTCCCTCCAGCCCCCACCTTTGCCTCTCTTTTAGCCCTGGGTCCCGGTTCTGCAAGCCAAGACTCAAAGACCAGAAGAGTGGCACAGGACCCTTTCCAAACTGCTGTTAAGGGGAAGAAACTGATTTTTTTGTTTTCTGTCACATATAGGAAAGCCTGACATGTTGCCTGGTCCTTAACAAGGAAAATGATCAATCAGTAATTCATTAATATTAGCTGATAGCACCCATAGACTTGAGCTATAACCTTAAGCTACACCAGCCACCAATACCATCATTTCTGAAATTCTTCACTGACATAGATATTTTTCAGTGGTCTTCCTTCTCCGCCCCCCCCCCCGCTTCCTTTTATAATCCTGTCACCTTCAAGGGAATTCAAGGATAAGAATGAGGTTGTCATAGAAAGCAATCTGACTAGTTCTCTTCAGGAATAGACATAAATAGAGCGCTCCAAATGTGAGGGAGGAAAATGGTAATGTGGATTGATTACATGCATACCAAGGCTTACACAGCACTTGACATATGCTAACCCTCCACTCATAACAAGCATGCAAGGAACATGTACCATTGTAGCAGAGTTGCACACATTTGACTTATTCAACCTGGAAAGATACAGCTATGTATACACGAAAGAGAGGAATGGAGATCAGGAGAAAGAATGAATGTACTTTAACTGGTGTAAAACTGGGGTTCCCAATTCCATTTGTTGAGCTTGAAGCCCATGAGATGTAAATTCCTTCAAATTCCTTGTGTTTCAAATCCCATGGTGTTGGTATCTCACATTTAATCTGGTATTAAACTCATAATGCAGGAGGGCTTTGGGGGGGCCCGAAAATAGATTGTAAACTGAGGCTAAGAATTTCATTTTTCTCACTATTGAAGGAAAACCTGCTGTGTTAGACCCACTGAGAGAGAAATTTTGAGACACTTTGAAGAATTATTAGGAATTTTTAGGAATAAATTTTGATACATGCTATGTTTGCCTCATATGCTTAGTTTTATCTCATATGTGACATTCTACTCTATCCATTGTACAGGTGAGAATGTTGAGAATCTGAGAATTAAGTGACTCACTTCAGGTCACACTTTTGGAGCTCAGATGAGAATTGAGCCACATCAGTTTGGCTCCAAAACACATACTCTTTATACTCTGCAAGTCCAGCTCAGCTGTCCCTCCAAGTCCCAGTTGCAAACTGTCATCTTCCTCTTGGCCATCTCTCATCCGTTTGCATAATCTCCATATTTCCATGCCGTCTTAAGCCTCTGGTCAGTACTATTTTGACGATTACAGGGATGAAGGTGGATGTTCAGCCAGCTCATGTCAGTAGGGCCATGCTGGGTGCTGTGCACTGCTCTCTATCCTAATGGCCACACTGCCTTTCCAATTGATTGGACATAAATCCTAGGACACATGCCTTCCTGGTTGTTAAATATTTTGAAGAGCACCCTGACCATATAGCATAATACTGTAGAGAGATTCATGTACAACAAAGTAGTGTACTTCATGTTAGAATGACCTTGCCATGAGGGTCATTTGTGGTCACTGACATCTTCATTTTCCAGAGCCAGGAACTGACACCCAAGACATATGTCTTGCCTAGGACCACACAGGAGGTGGGGTGGCAGCCTGGATGCACCTAACCCTGACCCTGTATCATTTTATAATCATGCTCATATGGTGTTCAGCAGTCCCCACACCCAGTTGCCTCAGTCTTTGCTGAGAATTTGGGGTGACAACTGACACAACTGTCTCCATAAGAATGACAAGTTGTAATGAACCATTGAGAACAAATAGGGGTTTTATTGTTTTCATCTGGAAATGTGGAACAAAGTCATAAGGCTGTGTCAGGTTCCAGTCACTGGTGGTGTCAGGATTCTTGGGAGTGGAAGGTCTGCTTGTTTTAATCCATCCACTCACTCCTTCTCTGCTCCTAGTGATGCCACTGGCCATGTTGGAGGCTCAGGTCGTTTATTCACAGGGTGGCTTTTCAAAAGGCGCCAGACCTCCAGTTACCATATCCCATGGTGCCCTACAGGATATTGAAACTGGCCCAAAATTGGCTTGAAAATGTTTTCTTTTTCTGTATGCTAATAAGAGCAAGATCACACCAATGGGTGTGGATTGAGGCAGGATTTGTCTACAGTGGAGTGTTTTAATGAGCCCATCTGTAATGAGGGCTCTGTCTGCATTTCTCACTGCGTGCTAGCCAAAGTGTAAAGACATTTCCCCTTCTCTCACCCCTTGGCTTTAATTCTTTTAAACAATAACATTAATTGGCTGTTAAGTAAAACAGGGGAGAGCACAATAGATTTATGATATTTTGAAAAGCTAAACCAGTTCTCGAGCATTCAGAGAAATAAGCCTGGCTTTTTTGAAGTAATTATGATTTAGTGTTTGCTCTCACTCTGTCAAGTCTGTGTGCTGCCTCTAAACTGGATCTGGGATGGATGTCAAAGTCAGGATTTATAGTTAACCCTTTTCCACGTCCCATGCAAAGGAGAAGTTTATTGTTTTGTTGTTGTTGTTGTTGTTATTTTCTAAGTAATATTTCCTTTTGTGTTTCTCTGCAATCAGGTTTTGCAGGATTTCTTCCCTCCCCTTTGTAATGCTATCTATAAATCACTGCTCCTGATAAGGCCACTGTATCATCAAAAAGTGATTGTTTTTGTAAGCAATCCTGAGAGAGCATGTCAATTGCAATAATTTCTTTCTTTTCCTCTAACTCCTCACCCTCAACAAGAAAATTCCCATCATCTCAATCTTTCCACCCTTCAGAAAGGAGCAGGCACAGTCCAAGTTTGATGAGCTCGAGGAGCAAGACTTTATGCTCTTCCTTACCGTACCTCCCCATGCCCCACCCAACTACTGTCCTGGAAATCAGAGCTGGATTGAGCTATTACTCTTGCAGAGGGCAGACCTTGGGGATTATTGGGTTCTAAGCAGTTGTGCCCTGTGAATCCCACCAACATGTTGAGTTCCTAGAAGTTTCCTCAGCTCCAGGGGCTCCTCATTCCTTAATTTGTAAAATAAGGGAGTGGGTGATTTATAAGCCCTTTCCAATTCTAAAATATTAAGATTATGTTTATAAGACTCGGGAGTAATATATTTGATCATCTTTGTGTCCATGTGTGTGTATGTTTGTGTTTGTGGTGTGTGTGTGTGTGTGTGTGTGGTGTGTGAGTTTAAAGGTGGCAGAGATGAGGAAGAGGACAGTGTGTTACAGTTTGACTGTGTCTCCCAAATTTCACATTTGGAAATTTACTTCCCAAATTCATGTCTGAGTGGTGTTTGGAGGTGAGACCTTTAGGAAGTAATTAGAATTAGATGAGGTCCTGAGAGTGGGCCCCCGGGACTGCGGGAGCGGCTCTGTGAGGAGGATTGACCACAGGCTCTTTTGCTCCACAACGTCCTCTGTCATGTGATGCATCCTTAGGAGAACCTCGTCAGAAGCCCATCAGAGGCTGGCTTCCATAAGCCAAATAAACTTCTGTTCTTTAAAAATTACTAAACCTGTAGTATTCAGCTAGAGCAACAGAAAATGGACTAAGACAATGTGACAAAAACTTTGGCCTTAACCAAACTTCAGTCTGGCTCCTCTAAGCCCAAACCTTGATCTTCGGTGTTTGTCCTTGGTGTGTCAGCCTCACCCAATTTTAACGTGAGTCCCCTTAAGTCAGTTTATGAAGAATTTCCCACTCTCATTATCTGATCACCCTGGATGTCTAACCAAAATCTGTACACCCCACTCTACCCTGTGCAGTATCTGATTGACTTGGCTTGTGTTCAACAAGAGTCAAATTAAGTCATAGTAAGAATTCACCTTTTCTCCTTTTCTTAGTATTTTCCATCCACACCCAGCCCCTCCATGCTCCTGGTCTGTACATGAATCTCCGAATTTCCTTACTGTGTTCCTAGTTGAGCTCCATCTCTCTTTCCAACCACAAGAATCCATTACAGTAATCCCTTCTTGAATAAAGTCTTCCTTACAGCCTTTAACAAGTCTCAAAATAATTTCCTTTTCTTTAACAGATGCTAGGAGTAACACTTCTCTTCAATAAAAAAATTATGTGAAGAAGCTTTTGGGAGAAAAAGGTCCATTCACCGTGCTTCTTTATCACTACCAGAAACCTCTAGAGATGACCGTATGGGCATGGTATTCACTAGAATTTTGGGGGAGAGTATGAGAGAAGGCTTCCATGCCAATTCAAGGTCATCAGACTTTCATATATGGGCTCAGATTAGTTATGCAATTGAAAATTGTGTTTTACTCTGTTTTATTTTGGTCTCTATCTTGCTGGATGGTTCTTGGTGTTTGTATCTGCCAAGTTGGGAGGAGGAAGCTACTCCTCTGGCCCGTTCCCACGTGTTTTCAGGGAATAAACCATTTAATGATTAGACCAGAGTCTAGAAAAGTCCCCTGAACACTTGACTAGTTTACATCTTATATGTGACGGATTCCAAGACATGCCACCCCTTTATATGCCTCTTTGGCCTATCAATTATTTTGAGCAGAAGGCACCTAAAATCAGCACATGTAGGAGAGGATTTCTCTGTTTTTTTCCCAGTCTGCCTACAGACAGATCCTCCCAAAGAAGCTCAATTATCATCCAGTGCCCCTGGGAGTTTCATCAACCAGGGAAGGTTATCTCTCATTACAGGAGAGGAGAATAGAAGACAGCATGTCCTTCTCCAGCTTGAATACATCTCCTCTAAAGTCAGGTGTTGCTGTTGTGATTGTAGTAACAGGTGGGGCCTTTAAGAGGTGGTAGGTCATGAAGGCTCCTCTTCCATGAATGGGGTTAGGTGTGCCCATAGAAGTGGCTTCTAAGAGCCAACTCCTTCTGCCATCTCTTCCACCATGTAATGAGGCACCATCTTTGAAGCAGAGAGCAGCTCTCACTAGACATCAGACCTGCTAGCACCTTCATCTTTGACTTCTCAGTCTTGAGAATAGGAAGAAATACATTTCTGCTTTTTATGAATCACTCAGGCTATGGTATTTTGTTATAGCAACACAAAACAGTCTAAGAAACACACCCGAGACTGGTGAGGGCAAACCTGTGGCATTCATGCTACAGTGGGCTGTTTGTCACCATTGAAAGCTCTAAAAGGCTCTCCTTCATCGCCCTAGACAAACTTCAACAGAAATGTACATATCTCTCACCTGTTCTCTAAGGACCCATCCATTGTCACTAAAAATCATTTGCTTTCCCCTGTGTTATCTCTCCTCTCCCCACCTCCACTTCCCCTATGAAGACGGTACATAAACTCCCAAATCCCACTGCCTTTTGGGTTATTCTTTCTTAACTCCCTGCAATACCACTATGCACATAATAAATGTATATATCTTCTCTCCTGTTAATCTACCTGTTTCAGTTTATTTCCTAGACTTAGCTGTCAAATCTAGGAGGGAAGAGGGAAAAATCCTTCTCTCCCCTATGTATGCGATCCATTATGTATTATATACAGCACCATTGACTGTGCAGTGCATCTAAGATGTCATCATATATTAGATATAGCTGGATATTATGACATAGTTTATTATAGCTACAATTTATTGAATATTAACTATGTGCCAGGCATGCTGTTAAGTATTTTTCTTATGTTTTCTCATTTAGCTTAGATGATGTAGCTTATTTACATGGTAATTCCGGTAACATCTAATGTTAATCATTTCTTCCAAGCATTTCTCCTGTCTTCAGGATAAAGAGGTGAAGACATAGGGAAAAGGACCCAATAAGAATATCTTCAAAAATAGGAGAAAATAATGAACTAGGGATTATTACAAATCTTAACCCTTCCTCCACACCCTCCGCCATCTACTCTAACCAAACACCCGCACACATCTCTAAAGGTTTAGCAGAGAAGAATTCAAGGATTCCATTATTTTCTAAAATCTTCCCAACTGGGATAATTGGCTTTGGAGCTCCCCCTTTCCCCAGGACTCCTCATATGCCAATTTCTCTAACACATAGATAATTTATGAAAACAGAATAGACACTTTTTAATAATTAAGTGATAGATAATAAGAGCTTTTAAAATAAGCTGTAAGAGCTTGGAAAAGGAATGGGGACTGAGATGATTAGTCATCTACATATTTATTTGGGATGACCCTCGAGGCTACTCATCTCATACCCCATTATCCACAACCAGAGGCCCCCAAAAGTTTGCTTTATTTGCTAGCTGAGGTCTTTTCCAGCAGCGTCTGGGGGTGGCGATGAGTGCATGGGAGAACCAAAGAAGGTGCCTACCCCAATCTGAATCCCTGCACAGCCCACCCCGCTCACTCCAAGTTACAGTGCAAACAAAGCACAGGTAAAATTAGTCCAGACACTAATTATGGAGCGCAAATGGGTAAGGGATATGGAGTGATCAATGGCGAAGCAGAATGTGTGTTGTGTCATATCTTGTAATCTCTCCAGCTGCTGAGCCCAGGAACAAAAGGAGAATTGTGCTCTGTTTGTCTAACATGCTCCATATCACAAATTAGAAATCCTTCCTAATTAAGATATTGTTAAATGTCCTTTGTTAGCAGATTTTAACAATGTTAATTAGGAGGTTAGAGTGATCATTGTTCATCTAGCAAACAATTAGGGTGATTTGCACTGTAGCTTTGGAGGAACTTCCCAGCAAATCAGGAGTCTACTCACCTCTCTTTGTAGGGAGGTGAGTGGTTCCGAGAAGGTGGCGACAGGAGGGTGACACCCTTAGTCTTGGGCCCGGGCAAAGTGGGGGAAGTGAAGAAGTGTTCAGTGGGAGCCCGGCAGCTGGAAGAGAGCACGTTAGCCTCGGCCTGTGGAATAGCCGTGTTGGCAGCTTATCTGTCCCCACAATGGTTCCTGTCTTGGTCATTTAGGAGAGTGTGGCCAGGTCTCCTAACTCTCTGATCAAATGAAGGTATCTTCCTAAGGAAAGGAAACCAGTGCCATGCCAGCCATTTTTCAAAGTTTTTAGAGTAATTCCAACACTCTGGGAGGCTGAGACAGGAGGATCTCAAGTTTATGTTGCCCAGTCTGGGCAGTTTAGCAACTTAGCCAGATCCTGTCTCAAAAAAAAAAAAAAAATTTGAGGTGTAGCTCAGTATGGAGGCCTTGAGTTCAATCCCTAGCAACCCCCAACAAAAAAGTTAGAATTGATGAGTCTTAATACCAGGTGAGTCTGGGATAACCCTACTATTGCCCTCCAACCCCTGTCACCTCTAAATCCCCAACACCACCCCATACAAGGTATAAAACAGTTGTCAAGGATTCCCCCCCCCCATACCTCACTCCTCATGCTTGTTGGAGATGAAAGGATTAAAGGAAAGAATCCAGGCAGGAACGGGGAGGTGGGAAGAAAGGAAAGGAGGAAGGATGGAAGGGAGAAAAGAAGAGAAGGGGAAGGAAAGGAAGGAAGGAAAGGAAGGAGAGAGGGAAAGAAGACAGTCTTGCATTTTGCTACTTTGAAACTGCAAATATGCAGTGTATATTTTGGGACCAGACCAGAAGTGCCCGTTGGACAACTACCAGCACAGTTAAGTGGCTTTGCGAACCTCATTCTCTCTTGGCAAAGGTTCCTTCGGAGCAGGGGGGCAGGCACCCCCCGGGAGGGGAAGTATGGATTGGAAATTGAACTCAGACACTGAGTTCTATTCTGGGCTTCACCAATGACTCCTCCATACAAACTCAGGACGAGTCACTTAACTAAAAGTCACACTGCTTGAAAATGTCACCGGGCTTCTAACAGTGTACATCTAACTCTAGGGGAAGGAAATTCTAGCAGATGCCAGCAGTAGCTCTGGGCCAGGCACCATGCACCATGCTTTGCAGAAATCCAATCACAGCTAGCACTTAGCTCCAATCGCCGACGGCCAGAGGCCAATTTAAGTGGCTCTCAAGTCTCTTTTATCCTTGGGGGGCCCCATCTGCCTGGAGAATAAAAAGCCCTTTTATGTTCTGCAAACCCACAGACCACCCACCCCAGCAGTTTGTGCTTTGTCACAAACACCCTTCATCTAATTAACAGGGCACGATTTTGATGAAATATTGGTGAAGTAAATTATTCATGCATGTCAGAAATCAAATATAGATGGAGTCATCTTGTAAACTGTTATGATGTCTGTAATTTGCTTTAAAGTACTTTCCCCTAGATAATGTAATATCATGTTCATGTTAGTTAGCAAAAGCCACAACTGAAGTGAAGACGTCGCTGTAGTATGAGTTTGCCTATTAGAACGCTACCATCCGCTGGCTGCCTTCTTGGCCGAGGTCAGAAGTAGGCATGCTCTGGTAGTGGCTGTTATAAATGGGCTCTCATTGGTGAAATTTGATCCGAGTGTCGCATTACTAGTTTAGATTGACAGGTGGGTTGGAGTTAGCAGACTATAGTCTACAATAACTTATGATATACAGAATTTCCAAATAAATAAGACTCCAATGTTTTCTAACACAGAGAAATAATAAATGTGCAAGGAGATGGAAATGCTAATGACCTGACTTGATTATTACACATTGGTATACATGCATTGAATTATTGTGCAATGCCACATACATATGTACAAATATTATGTCCATTTAAAAAATTTGTAAATTGTTTTAAACAGTTGAGAGATGAATCTGAGGTAGGAGATTAGGGTGTGGCCAGCCACCTGAGCAAGCAGGGATGAGCTGTCAATCATGGAGATCCAGAACACAGGCACTGAAAAACAGTTCCCAATCCTTGCAGCTGGGGCCAATCATAATATGCTATCTTGAATTCTTCAGGTGCAAAACCAAGCAGGTTTTTGACAGGATGGACTTTGTCAGCCTGAGGAATGGAGGATAAAGATGGCGGCCAGCCTACTATCACTCTGCCAAGCATACTTCAAAAGTTTAAAACCTCACTACCTTTTACACATCTGTCCAATTCTTTGTTCAGAACAATAACCAGCAAGGAATTTCTGGAAAGCCACCACAGCACCCCAGGACCTACCTTGGTAATAAATCCAGTTTTCTATTTCTTTGCAGCCATACATACCCAAGTGGCCTTTGTGTTTCTAGCCATGCCTGCACACGTCTCTCCATGTATCCGATGTCAAGCACAGTAGGCCCTCAACATTCTTCTGATGAATGAAGGATGAAACTACATTGTCATCGTTGGGGAAAATTCATCTAGGATGGAAAACACATTGCTCTTTTGCAAGACCCCATGGTTTTTTGTTTTTTTATTTTTAAAAAAATGTTAACCTTTATTGGAAATTAAAGAATATAATAAAAACAATGACTGTTGTGGGCGGACACAGTGGCTACTCTTGAGGCCAAAAGAGCCTCCAAGTTAGGCCACCCTGGGGCTCAGAGGAGCCAAAGGGAGTCCGTGCATCTCTCAAAGACCCCAAGAGTCTGTTGAGCATCTATCACATTCACAGCAAATCTCACCCCCAGCATAAGCTGGCAGCTGGGGGCCGCACCGACGGTGCAGCTTGCCTCCAGCCAACATGCCCTGAGAACACGGGTGGGAGGGGGACGAGCAGCACTGGAACTCGAGGAGACCTGGAGACCCTTTTGATTCACAGACAAGCCTCTCATGATTTGACATGTTGCAGTCTGAAATCACTTACATGAGAAACCCAAAATATAAATAAAGAGCAAAGTAAAAGATAGCGAGATAGATCTTTTGCAAAAGAGGAAGGAATCAAGAAATGGAGGGAGGAGACAGGGGAAGGAGATAAAAAAAAGATTTAAGATTTGCTATGTACAAGTACTACTACTACTACTACTACTACTACTACTACTAATGATAATGATAATAAACAAAGGAAGAGCCTGGCGTGGTAGTGCCTACCTGTAACCCCAGCTGAGGCAGGAGGGTCACAAGTTTGAGGCCAGCTTGGGCTACATAGAAAGAACCATCTCTAAATAAATAAACAACTAAAAAGGAATAGGAAAACAATTTATTTTCACTGAGGACTGCTGATCATTTTTAAACAGATCAACTTTTCCAGCTATTATTATCTATGGACAACACGACAAGCAAGGAAACCATAAACTCACTGGAGTTTAGGCACACAATATGCTGGAGGAGTGGAGAGAATATTCAAGCTATGAAATGTGATGGCTCATTACCATGACAAAGGTTGCAACAACTTGGACAGGAAGCCGAACAAAAGGCATCCACCATTCTATCTGCAATTCTCCAATTGTATTTGTAATCTCTCTTTGCAGGAGAAAGAGACCGCCAGCAAAAGGCTGCCACACAAAGGAAAAGGAAATCCACAGTGCTGGGAGACACCGAAGGGACCAGGGGATGTGCACACCAGTGTTTGTATCTTCTCTCTGTGTGTACACAGTCCATGAGAGTAAATTATTGTCATGGGTAAGGGTTTAACATTCTTGACCTATACTATGGCTTAAAAAAAAAAAGTATGCAACATGACTGGAATGCCAATTTGAAGTGGAGAAGCATTTAGGGAGAATGAATAGACTGTGCTTCAGAAGTATTTTCATGGAAGGGAATGAGCCTCTTTAATTTGTTCTCTGCAGAGGCTTTGAGAGAGCTAACATTGTAACCTGCTAAGTCAGGCACCATGCGCATAATAATGCAGAGATGATGGCTTAAGAGTTACTGTGCTACTAGGTTTTGGTGTTAAGGCAGCAGTAATTGTTGCAAAAGTCACTGATAATTTTGGTTAGCAAGTGATACAAATGGAACTGGTCGGGTATGCTGTTCTTTGGGACCCTCCCTCACCCACAGCCTCTGAACTCTGCAAATCCTGATGCAGTGTCCTTTAGTCCCCTTTCATTACCTACATAGCTGGTGCATGCAGTTGGGAAGTGTGGTGGCGGGGCCCATTCCAAAGGAGTCCACTGCCTCACAGTCCCTGGTGCTGGAGGAGCAAAGCCATTGCTTTCATTCAGCTGGAAGAGAATGAAACCCACATTCTATGCTGTTGTCTCACTGCAAGCCAGGCCTTCAATTGGAATGTTGGTGTCAATATTTAAAGAGGTGTGCCATGACAGCTTAGAAGTGAGGCGTCCTGAGGGCAGAGGTGACTTCACCTCCGGGTTAATCCTGCTTTGGAATTGTTTTCTGTGCTTTTACTGCCCCTGGTTCCTAGGAAACATGGTTGCTGTTTGTGGAGTGGCAAATAGGGCTACGCTTAGATTCTGGACTGGCAGTTAACATTTTGCATTAATCCCATGCTTTATCCATCAATCCCCCTTTTTCCCTCCACCTTCTTGCCCTCTGATGAACATTAACAATGTTGGCACCTAACCACACTTCTCATTCGGCTTCCGCTGACTTCTGTCCTGTGAGGTGCACAGAAATAAAAATGTCAGTTTGTCAGTCCCTTTTATGCTTACAAAGTGTTCCTAGTGTGAAGACCCAACCATGAGCCGATCATCTTCACCCTCGAGCAAATCCATGTAACAAACATTTATTGAGCCATGTGATGCAACATGGAAGCAATTCAAGGTAACAAACATTTATTGACCCTCTGATTGTAATTGATCCAAGGTCCTGAGTCATTAACAAAATTGTTTTTGTGACTTTCATGAGGATGTCAAGGTGATTCTTGCAGTTAGCATGTGGGCATGTGATTATATCTGTCCATGGTGGGGAGGAGTTTGGTATTGATGAATATATCTAGTGTAGGAGACCTGGATATGGCTTCCCAAAATACAGATGGGCCTCCGAATCCATAGGTTCCACTCACACAACCAACCTCAAATGGAAAATTTTGGGAAAAAATTTCATCTGTACTGATTATGTATAGATTTTTTTCTTTGTCATTATTCCCTAAACAGTACAACATAACAGCTTTTTTACATAGCATCTACATTATGTTAAGTATTTATAGTCATCTAGAATTGACTTAAAATACACAGGAGGAAGTGTGAGGATTATATGCAAATTCTATGCCATTTTACATACAGCACTTGAGCATCCACAGATTCTATCACCCACGGGGTCCTGAAACGTATCTCCTGCGGACACTGGAGGTGACTGCCCGCCTCTTTGTAATAAGGAGTATTTTGAGAAACTGAAGACACAGGAGAGGCTCTGAAATGGAGTTGAAGTAACATTTTTGCAAGGAAACTTTGCAAATCTCCATTTGTAATCTCTATCCCTCCCTGGAGCAGGAAGAAAATGACTCTTATCAAGGAGAACCAAGACCAGCATCTGCATACCAAGCCTTACTCTGGGATGCCTCCCATTTCCTGGGCTCCCTCACATCCTTCTTTCTTTATTTCCATTGAAGATGGTATTTAAGCCATCTCTACGAGAGTTACTCATTTTCCCTGTGTACCTTCCATGAAACCTGAGCTATATATGTTACTAAACTTGTTTGTTTTACTTCTGTTAATTTAAAGAAGAGACTCAACTATTTTTTTTTGAGACTCAACTATTCTTATCAATGCAAAAGGCACTGATTTAAGTCTGTATAAGAAATTACTAAACAACCCCATTTACTGTACTTTTCCTGGTCACCGTCCCATAACTAGCTTTGCCTTCCACAACAGGAAGGAAGACTTACAGAACTGCTTCAGGAAGGGACAAGAATGGTGGGATAAGTGTGTTGGAAGTGAGGGGAAGTATTTTAGGGGGAATTAATGGCAACATGTCTTTTACTGTAATAATTTTTTAAAAATTTAAACATTTGATATATTTTGGATCGTTCGGAATTCGTGCACACAGAGATGAGTAACTCAAAAGGGTTCTTAGTACTTGGGCTTATCTACCACATTAGGCTAAACAGAGGGAAAGGGCTTGGCCCTTCTGGGTGGGGGAAGCTAGATGGAGTCTTCCAACCTTCCATGACATTTTTGGCTTCTGCCATGCACCAGGCCCTGAGTTACCTGCTGGTGAATAAATCCATGGAAGAATGAATGGGAGCTCCAACCCGGAGGGAAGTCAGTTCAGGCTCAGAAATGAAATCTGACCCCATCAACTGTCAGGTTAAGTCATGCAAGGACACGGTGGGGATGCTTTCATCAGCACCCCTCAGGTCCTCTCACCAGGTGTGGAGGCTGTGCAGAGGAGTTGTTCTCACGTTGCCCCTGCTTCACACACCTCACCTCTGGCAGTCCCCATCTCTCTATAGAAACCACACATAAAGCCACTGAGGCGGACACTGCAGTGAAATAGCAAACATTTCTACACTGTAGTTTTATTTTATAAAAAGCCAGGCAGAGGAATCTATAAAAGTTGGGGCAAAAATTGAAGCATGTGCAAGGAATATTGTTTTGCCTGTTTTTCAAAGGAAGGTAATTTAAGAGATGGCAGTTGGTGAAGGTGAAATATACATTTTTAACAGATTCTCCAATAAGTGTAAGTGAACATGAGACAATCACCAGTGTGTATCTGTTTGTTCCCTGCTTTCCTACCTAGAATCCTCTCAGGCCACTACATGCAGAAAGCCCTTGGGAGGTGATCTATTTAGCAAAACATGCAAATCTGACATTGCCACACATTTATGGAGAGGCAGTTTCCTTTATTCCTCTTGTAGCTGTGGCCCCATATTTGTCTTCATTTTAGTCCTTTTTCTACACTATATTTGTTCTTTACCTCACACTCAAGTGGTATAAAATCCTCTGGCTGTTATCAGTCATGCTCAGATTTTCTAAAATAAAAATGAGGGTATAGTCTGAAAGTGTGAATGAAGGCATAGAACTCTGTGGTTGGCTGCTGTTATAGCTTGTATCTAACTGTCTCCCCAAAGCTTCATGCATTCATAGATGGGACTTTTCATAGGTGGCTAGATCTAGGGTGTATGATGCTGGGATTAAGTGTGATGCTGGGATTAAGGGTGCCCCACCCTGGGTATAGGTAGCACTAATCAATAGGCTTACAGCCTTGATACAATACAAATTGACAGAAATAAGCTGCTTCTGCTGTTTTATTGCTGCTTTGCAGCTGCTTCTTCACTATTTCATTGCTTTGCTGTCTTCTACCCACCTTGAACTGTTTCTCCTCTGTGCTGCTCCTCTGCCATGCCACCTTAACTTGGAGCCAGCCAACTATGGACTAAATCCTCTACAAATTGTGAGCTACAATAAACTTTTCCTTCTTTATCTTTGAGTATTGGGTATTTGTCTTAGCAATGAAAAAAGTAACTAAGACCATTGCTTTAGGAGGTGAGGACAATGTGGTGTTAGAAATGTTAGAGATTTATTAGGGGTTGCATCAAGAGAGATAAAGGTCAG